AAAAAAAAATTCTGTTTTTAATTTGTCGCTAAATGTCATTGTACCACGTTTTTGATTAGTCATTTTAATTGCTCTTGCCCTCCATAGGAGCTGATGCAACAGAATGGGATTGGTTATGTGCTAAACGCTAGCAACACCTGCCCAAAGCCTGACTTCATCCCCGAGTCTCACTTCCTGCGAGTACCTGTGAATGATAGCTTCTGTGAGAAAATTTTGCCGTGGTTGGACAAATCTGTAGATTTCATTGGTAAGTAGTTCAAGTAATATTAGAAGTCCTTTGGGTTATAGTCTCATGTATAGGTAATTCCCCCTCCCTCCATCCCCTTTCTGTTTCTTTAGAGAAATGGAGCCTATTTCAGAGATTGCAGACATCTGAAAATAACACATGATGCTGTTTATCTCATTTCGTAGCCAAGGTGATGTGTGTGTGCATTGCCCTCCCTAAGGGACTGGCCTGTGACATTCTAGCTAACTTGACACTACCAAGGTTAAGCCTTATGGGATCTGTGATTATGTATTTGCAAACGTTTGAAAATCAGTTACACTTTTGGGGTTAAATTTCTTCCCTACTTTCTCAAATCCTATAAAAGACTTCTGTAAACTTTGGTGGCATTTAAACTGTTTTTGCCTTGCTGCTATGTTTTCCCCAGAGAAAAGTCAAATCCTGTGAAAACAAATCCCATTACATTTAAAGTCTTTATGTCACAAGCATTCTAAGCCTCCGTCCATGTGCCAATAATTTTAAATAGTATTCGATCTAATAAAATTCCAACACACACACACACACTCACATACACATACACCCTTGCTCATTTCCTTTGCATTGGTTGTGACAGGACCAGCCCGTCAGTCCTGGAGCCCCCTATGCCCTGACCCGACTCCTGCCTTCAGGGGCTGTTGTGCCATTTTGGTGCCGCAAGATCAGGTGGCTGGTAGTAAGCCAGTGACATGTATTTGCAGTGTGGTTTCAGTGGAGAGCGGTGAACAGAGGAGAAACATGGCTGGCTCTTGAGCAGCGTCGTAAGGTTGACTGCTGATGTTCCATATGAGGAGTTTTGTTGTCGTCCCCCCCCCCCCCAAAGACACATAAAGTTGAGCACTCTAATCCATAATGAAATACTCTGAATTGGTTACTGTAATTTAAAAAAAAAGAACTGGTTCCTTTTAAAAAGCGAAACTATGGAAATTAAGCCTCTCACTCTATATACTTTCTTTCATCTGTGAGAGAAATTTTTAAGATAATGCTTTGGGAACTTCGGGTAATTCTGAAAACAGTTCTCTCTCTTTTTTAAGATTCTAGATAGTCAAAAGTTTTCATCTTTAATTAGGATTCATCTGTGTAACATCTGACCCTAAATGCCTTAGATAATTTGCATTAAAATAATCACAAGCAAAACTCCCCAAATTAATCCCACCCATTGTACTTCTAGGAAATATTCAGCCTGTCATTCAGGTTTTGCCTAATTGTGATTAATGATCTCATTGCTTGTCACATCAATTCAGACAGTTTGGCTCTAATTTCAGTTAAAAGTGCAACTTTAGAATCTGTTTAAAAGGAACCTGATTTTGTTGTCATGACAATGTCTAAGCTTTTGGGGGCTTAATAGAACAGAGAGAATATGAATAACTTTGCCCCCAACTTATTTTCTTCTTTCATGGGAGATATTGGGATCATCCTGCCACTTTCAATTCATAGAAAAGGAACTTTACTGTGTTCCAAGTTGTTTAAACACATACACATTATTGTAATTTCTTTGTAATATCTGAAAACATTTTTACTTACTGGTATTTCACTTGCTTGGCCATATTTACTAGGGCCACCATCCTTATCCCAGCCAGTAATTCAGGGCAAAGTCTGCAGCCCACTTTTGGGATCCAGCCCTGTTCACTATAGTAGCTAGTCTCCTCCTTCCAGAGCATTTTAAGCCGTGGTCAGTCATGGCAAAGTATGTAATTTGAAGATGCACCCTCATACCAGGACGTAGTAACTTACAGGTTCATAGGTATCTTTTCTTTTTTATTACTTAGATTAAATTTCAGTAAGTTTCTTGGCTTATTGAGAGCATTCAGGTTTTCATGGAGTGTGATCTCTATTTTTGGTTAATGTAGGCAGCAGTAAGCACGGTTTGCCTGCTTGTTTATGGGACACTCATGAGGTGCCCCCTATCCTGGCTGGCTGCTTATAGGGGCTCCTGCCCCACCTCACCCACACCAAACTCATGACTCTGTGTGTAGGCAGTACAGGGAGGAGGAAGGTAATTACGAGCGTCTGCTGAGGAGCTAAACTGTATTTGAGTCCTGCCCCCCTTGGTTTATTAGTTAAGTGATTTTTGGGGTTCAATTACTTAAAACTTCTTTGTTCCTCATTTTCTTGATCTGGAAACTGAAGATAATTTATCTACCTCATAGGAATATCGTAAGGATTAAAATAGATAATGTACGTAGAATATCTTGCCAAGTGACTGGCTCATAATTGGCTCTTAATAAAGAGTGGCAGTTTTAAAAATTGTTATCCGAGTTTTTTGTTTTTTTCCTTAGAACTGTACTCGGAAACCTCAGTTATTCCTTCTTTTTAGCCTTTGGAAGTTCTCGTCCTCACTGGCTCCCCGTTATTTACCCTTTACATCTGTTATCCTCTCATCCTTTTTAATCTAGATTTTATCCCTGAATTACTGTGGTGGTAACCTGCTTTTTTATTTCTCTCTTTTTTTTTTTAATTGCCAGTTTTCACCATCAGCGCCTTCTTGTCCCTTACTCAGGAAACTGCAGAGGCTCCTTAACTGCCTACGAGTCTCAGCGTAACACACCCAGCACCTCCAGCCCCTGCTCCCCACCTTAATTGTGATTAAGTCTCTCCCCCTCCCTGCCTCTCTGCTATTCAAACAGTAATGTATGTCACATATGTGTGAAATGAAAAATATTTTTTAAAATTTATCTCTTACATATATATCAAATTATTACGTTGTATAGCTAAAAGTAATACAATGTTATATGTTAATTATATCTCAAAACTGGAAAAAAATTAATATCTCTTACATAACTAGAAAAAAGTTGAGGTGTCAGACAATATGGTAAACAAAATATTAGCTAAATCTTAAGATATTTTCTTTATACTTTTCTGTATTTCTGAAATTTCCTACACTAGAATCATGTAATCAATCATAATGTAGGATTTATACTCAGGGAAAGTTATTAAAATAACAAATAATGTAAAAATACATGGTGAAAAGTATTTGAGTAAGAGTCAGGCATCCTGAATTAGGGGCAGATTGCTTATTAACACGTTTGGACCTTCACTGTCCTATAGGTAAATGGTGGGGAAATTATTTCCCCCTACCTCCTTACAAGAATATTGAAAGGAAATAGCTGTAAATAGATGAGATGTACTTTGAGTTGTCAGATGAAAGGCACTGAGTAGATAAATGCAAGCAAGATTTTATTCAGTGCTGAACAAAGCTATTATCTGTGACCCTCCATGAATTTGACTCACGCAGAGAAAGCGAAAGCCTCCAATGGCTGTGTCCTGGTGCACTGTCTGGCTGGGATCTCTCGCTCTGCCACCATCGCGATTGCCTACATCATGAAGAGGATGGACATGTCCTTAGATGAAGCTTACAGGTGAGGACAGGAATGTGTCGTGTGTGATTGGCTTTTCATTTGACCCGAAACATGAGGAGATGGAGGGTGGGTAACCAGATTGAAGCAGATCATGATTATTTTAGTGACGCTCTTTACAGTTGACTGGATTTTTAAATGGTCTTTCAAAGGTTGGAGGAGAATGCATTTTTATAATTCAGCATTAATTCTACCTTAACATGTGTCAGATCCATCCTCAGCTATTTTTTAGTTTAAGGAACAGCAAATCCAAACAGATCTCTCTTCTGTTACATGAGTTTATATCCTTCCTTAATTGGGGAAGTTATCATTTGTTCTAATTTACATGTGAGAAAAAAAGCTCCAGGAGCATACTCATAGAATTCCTTCTCTGCTTCAAGTTTTGTGTCTCTTTCACTGTGAGTAAAAAGCCTAATACATGCAAGTATTAAACCTAATAATTGTCAAATTCCATTCATTGAATAAAATTTTCTATATTCTAGAGTTGCCCAGATTTTGCAGTGTATAATTTTGACTGGATTCCCCCCACCCCAAAACAGGACAGACAAGTGACAATATCAGCACTAAGGACTGGGGCTTTATTTAGTGACTGGAGAATCTGAGTCCCTTGTGTCTTGTTGGATAGAAGTGGTCAGTTTTCTTGTGATTAGGAATCAGTAACTAGATACATAGAGCCAGGCTGTTTTTGGACTTTTTTTTCCAAATTAGGAAATTTGGAAAAAAGAAACGAGCTGCCTGAACAGCTTCCATTTGATAAAGGAGATGTATTTGTCTGTATTAGCTCCCTCATCCTCTGTTCAGGCTTTTATCCCAAAGGTCCTCCTGTGCCATGTAAAAACCAGAAGCAAAGGCACCTGGATGGTTTGTACGAAGTCTTAACTATGAGCACCCTATGTTTGTCCTTGTTACTGATGAGCCAGTTATTTCTGGCTTTGTTAATGTGCTTTAGGTTACTTGATTTCCAAAGAGTTTAGTTTTGATTTTTCTCTTTTCTCATTAAAATATCATCCTTCAGAGTAGTTTTTTTCATTCCTGCATCTTCTCTGAAGAGTGTCCATGAGGTCTAGTGGTCATTAAAGAATTTATCTTCTGTCTCTTAAAAGTCTTTATTTCCACAATGGAACATAAAAGCTATTTATTACTAGTTTTGATCCCTTGATGAATATTTTTAACATGGTGGTGACAAAAATGAACCTGAGACCTGGTTTTGAATCCCAGTACCATCACTTAATAGCTGTGTGATTTTGCGCAACTCATGCAAGGACTTTATGTACCTGTATGATGGGGATAATTACACCCACCTGACATTAGGATGCCTCTGAGGACTGAAGGAGATAATACTCTGTTAACTCGATTTAACATATTAGCACATTCTAGGCGCACACACAGCCCCCCATGTAGGTGGTTGTGCTGTTGTGTTGAGTACAAAGAGAAGGAACTCGGAAATGTGGGCTTTGATGTTCAGGCTATCTGATACCCTCTCTTTTGGTCATTAATTAAAAATGTGAACTATCTTGGGGAAGTGATTTTGAGAAGGTATGGGATATTGGGAAATTGAAGCTGCACTTCTTTCTGGTGGTAGCATCAGCGGGGAAGTCCCTGAAAAGAACCATCTCTTATCAATTGCATTGGAAACGTTGGGTCCTTCAGAATAAGGAGGCTAAAACTGGAACTTTTGGAGACCTGGCACCCCCCTTTCTAGCATGCTCCAAGTACATGTTATAAAACTCCCTTTATGCAGAGTCCTTTCTGATCTCTACCTGGAGGTGTCTGCCTGATTAAAACAATCATCTTACAAAGGTATTTGGGAGGGTGTGTCTAATAATACCCTATCTTATTTATTCACTGAAGATAAAGTATAGTTGTAAAATTCAAGTTTCTCCCCCCCCCCAATAGATTTGTGAAAGAAAAAAGACCTACTATATCTCCAAACTTCAATTTTCTGGGCCAACTCCTGGACTACGAAAAAAAGATTAAGAACCAGACTGGAGCATCAGGGCCAAAGAGCAAACTCAAGCTGCTGCACCTGGAGAAGCCAAACGAACCTGTCCCTGCAGTCTCAGAGGGTGGACAGAAAAGCGAGGTGTCCCTCAGTCCACCCTGTGCCAACTCTGCTACCTCAGAGGCAGCAGGGCAGAGGCCTGCTCATCCTGCCAGTGTGCCCAGCGTACAGCCCTCACTGTTAGAGGACAGCCCCCTGGTACAGGCGCTCAACGGGCTCCACCTGTCCTCAGACAAGCTGGAAGATAGCAATAAGCTCAAGCGTTCCTTCTCCCTGGACATCAAGTCAGTTTCGTACTCAGCCAGTATGGCGGCATCCTTGCATGGTTTCTCCTCATCGGAAGATGCTCTGGACTACTACAAACCTTCCACAACTCTGGACGGGCCCAACAAGCTATGCCAGTTCTCTCCAGTGGAGGAAGTGTCGGAGCAGACTCCAGAAACCAGCCCAGATCAGGAGGAAGCCAACATCTTGAAGAAGCCTCAGACTCCCCGGCTCACAGACAGCCAGAGCAAACGGTTACATCCAGTAAGAACCAGCAACAGCGGTGCCACCCAGCGGTCCCTCTTATCGCCACTGCATCGAAGCGGGAGCGTGGAGGACAACTACCATACCAACTTCCTGTTTGGCCTTTCCACCAGCCAGCAACACCTTGCGAAGTCTGCCGCTGGCCTGGGGCTCAAGGGCTGGCACTCGGATATCTTGGCTCCCCAGACCTCCACCACTTCCTTGACCAACAGCTGGTACTTTGCCACGGAGTCCTCTCACTTCTACTCCACCTCAGCCATCTACGGAGGCAATGCCAGTTACTCTGCCTACAGCTGTAGCCAGTTGCCCACTTGCAGTGACCAACTTTATTCCGTGCGCAGGCGGCAGAAACCAAGTGACAGAGCTGACTCTCGGCGGAGCTGGCATGAAGAGAGCCCCTTCGAAAAGCAGTTTAAACGCAGAAGCTGCCAGATGGAATTTGGAGAGAGCATCATGTCAGAGAACAGGTCGCGGGAAGAACTGGGGAAAGTGGGCAGCCAGTCGAGCTTCTCAGGCAGCATGGAAATCATTGAGGTCTCCTGAGAAGAAAGACACTTGGGACTTCAATTGACAGTTTTTTTCTCGTTCACAAAAGAATATTCCCTGTAAATCTGAAATATATATATGTACATACATATATATTTTTGGAAAATGGAGCTATGGTGTAAAAGCAAAAGGTGGATCAACACAATTGTTCTCAACATCTGCATTTGAGAGAGCAGCTAATACTTCTCTCAACAGAAGTGGAAGGGCAGATGCTGGAATCCCCCTAGACAGCTAAAACAGTTCTATGCAATGAATTGCACATCCCCTCGTTCTTTCTAAATCAAGTTTTATTTGGTGTTGGAGGACAGAAATCCCCTCCCGTTCTCACGTTGTGCTTCAGAGATATCAAATGCTAGTCTTTGTCCCGTCCTTCCGTAGTGCACCTTAGTGCTGAGACTGAGCCAGCCTGTGGGTCGGGTGGGTAGGCCCTACTAGGGACACAACCTAATGGTAGATCCATGGGAAATGATCACATCCAAAGCCGATGCACAAATCTAAGCTCCCGGACAGCCAAGCGAGTCAGTGAAGCATCATTCTCCTGTTCAGACCATTAGGGGCCTTGCCAAGATCTACTTTAGAGCAAACCTAGTACCTCAGACAGAAAGTCGGGGTTTTACCACTACCATGTCTGGTAGCCCGTTTTCTCAGCATTGTGAATAGGTGGGTAGCTAGTCACACTTTCAGACCAATTCAAACTGTCTATGCACAAATTTCCAATTGCGCCTGGATGGAGGTAGTTGATTTCTTCTCAGATTTATGAAGAAGGGAAACCATCTAGGATTCAATGTAATAGCCACGAATCTGGCAGCATAATGATTTAAGCTGAGGTTGGGAGGCTAAACAGGTCTAGCCTCTTTATAAATCAAAGACTTGTTCAAAATGGGATTGTTAATCCTTTAAATAAAGATTAACTTGGGTGAAAGCCAGATGTGAATTTATTTGGGTTGGTAGCAGAGCAGCAGCACATTCAAGTTCTCAGCCAAAGTAGATGTTTTCCATTTCCGTTGCATTGCAGATATATTTTGTAAAAGAGTAACAATAAGGTAGACTTTTATAGGGAACTACCAAGAGGGAGGAAAACGAAGGAAAGATTAAAGTTTGTAAAATTGCTGAGAAGCAGGAAACTTATTTCTCAATGGTTTTTCCCTCTTAGCATGTGATGAGGGTGGTATTTCTATAATTTCCTAATTATAGACTTTCAGATTTACTAATCGGGCTGAGAAGAGAGGCTTTAGCAAGGAAAGAATGTTCGGAATGAAACAGTATAGACTGGTGAGAAGGTGGTTGAATTTTGTTTCATTGTGAACAGAGTGGAAAGCCACGGCCAAGTTATTCTCAGAAAATATCCGTAGTGTTTTTTTTTGTTTTTTTTGTTTTTTTTTTGAGTAGAAGGGACATAGCAAAATAGAGCAGGACCAAGGTGGTCTCTCAGTCCTTGACCTGCAATCACTGTATGGAATCAATCCTGGCAGCTGAAAATAGGTCATCAGAACAGGTACACAAGTGACAGTACATATCTGCTTCTAAACTTCTTGGCTTGGTTTTGTCAACTACAGTATGGTCCTTTTATGGAGCCTTAAATCACAAATTCACGTCAGCAGCTTTGGGGGGAAGGGGGTTATCAATGTTCTTTACTGTAAGTGTAGCTAGTTGCCGACTCATATCTCAGGTTTTTCTATGTTTGAGAAGTGAACAGTCCTTTGACTAGGATGTGACTTCCTATTTCCTATGGTGACTGCTAAAACCAGCATGGAATGACATGATTCGAAATGGATTTGATCATGACAGTTATCAGCTTCACGTAACATAACTGGTTATGCACAGATAATATGCTATGACATGGGTTTAAGGTGAAGGCAGAGAGAGTAAACTGCATAGGGAGTGCATTGTTACCATATGGAAAAAGTTCTGTTAAATGATCTGAATTAGTTTTTCTGTGTACATTTAAGTTTTGGATGTAATCAGACATTCTCAAGGTTTCACACAATAACTTCTGATGTGTTATGTATACACACACCAAATGTGTAGCCGCTCACTGCTTTCAGAGTTTGGTCACAACTGTTGAACATTTTTAAGAAATGAAAGCAGTAGCTCCAATGTCCAGTGTTTCAGGAGGGTAGGGGGACTTGGTTTAGACGAGCTATTTGGGCAGAAGTTTGCCCTCCATCATTTGGGATTCCCCTTGGCCATGGTCCCCTCCTTCCTGTGACAGTGATGGAGTCGTACACTACCACCTTTGGTCCTTGACTGCGAAATGTCAGGTTATCAGCTCTTGTAACCCAGACCAGCCTGCTGAGGGGCAGCCTCAGAGGCAAAGCCCAGGAGCAGCCTGGGTGTCTGCAGGGCACATGGTGGCTGGTTCCCTTCAGCATGTAATCGTAGGGGAAGCCGAGTCTACTAGGACGACACACAATAGTGATTTCAAAGAGCAAAACTAGACTTCTATGTGAGAAATGCTGAAAAATGGTTCAGACATTTGTAAAGTTAGGTGAAAAGACTGTATAAATGTTTAATATGAATATAGTGTTCTTTTGGAGTAAGGTGAGCTGTTGAATGGTTTAATTGTGCATTTCTCATGTTGATGTGTCATGTGTGTTAATATGATGACAATAAAATCAAAACTGGTACCCGTTTATACATAAATATGAGAAAGGACCTCTCTTTGCAGCTATAAACTTGGTGGGAACAGCAACGTCCAACCTGTGAAAGGAGGCAGTACTGGAGCCTGTATCCTATTCTCATGTCAAAGGATTTAGCTCAGAATGAAATGGTGAGATCGTCAGATCCATTATGTACTCTTGTCATTCACACAAAACACTGGGTCACTGGCAGTTTGTGCCAGCCTTCACTCTTTAATATCTATTCCAAACGCACACTTGGTAAATGTCTGCTGACAGACTGAATCCAGAACAAGTACACGATAGGAAGAAAAAATGCCAGATACACATTCATGGTACATTTTAATGTATGTAAATGGCCTTCTAATTCTTGTAGGAAAAACAGAGGAGGAATGGTTATTAAGGATCTGTTCTCCATCCTTGCCATGCACATCTCAGTGACCTCTGCTTGGAAATGACACTGGACGTGATGGCTTATGAGACAAGAAGCATGGTCTAATCAGTGTGTTAGTATAGAAGGATGCATTAAAGGAACACAGCATTCACTTTCAGTGCAAGCAGATGGAGGAATGACGATAAAGGGAACCATAGGTGATGTCATTTAAGTAGGTTGTGAAAGGCTTCTGAGTGGAAGTTAGATTTAAGAAAATGTAAAAGCAAGGGTTGGATGGGGTGAGTGACTACTAGAAGAGCTGTCTTAGCCAGGACCTTGCAGAAAAGTGGAGGTGGGCATGTGACAGAAGAAAGGGAGTGTGGAATAAATCTGCCTCAAGATGGAAGGCAGGAGGGAGCAAGTGTTTCAGGAAGAGGCTTTGGGTGAGAGGGTGTAGACGTGGGGAAGGCCTGAAGGTCAAGCCAGTTATATAAACAGATTTGGGGGGGCTCTGAGAGACCAGCCTGAGTAGGCTGGTGGAGGACTAGTTTGGGTCTGACAACTAAAATGAGACGAGGGCTTAGACTAAGGGGAAATAGGGAAGGTAGATGTGAAGGGTAGGGTGCATAGTGGGACTAGCTGACAGAAACTTGACCCTTAAACCTTCACTGCCATTTTAAATAACTCCTGCCTGGTTTTGTTTTTCTGACATTAAGTAGTAATGTTTTAGGTCTAGTAAACAAAATTTGTCTAGGTGCTTTTTTTCTGAGGATTAACTACTCCTCTGCATCTATAAATGGAAGAGGGAAGTAAGTTATTCCTAGCATTCTGTGGGGCCCATTCATACTTGTCCAGCATAATTATACTGATTGTATCTTTAAAGTGTTGCGAAATAACTGGAAAATTACAGCATCTTCTTGGAAGATGTTTACAAGTCAATCATATTGTTGCAGTTTATGTGCATGACATCAAACTGGGTTTATGTAAAAACAGAAGTTTCATTCCTTTGGTTCTAGCTAAAACACTAGAGTCAGTTTGAAATGCTATCCCATAAGAAATATGGAATGTAACCTTGTAGGAACAGTGTCACAGACAAACGGGATAACGTAGGGTTAGTGCAGCTATGGTCTGTGGGTTCTCTGCTCGGGGGGATTATGACAATTTCAAAGACTGAAGTAAAAGTACTTGGTTCACAAAAGCTTTCAGCCCAAATCATGCCTCACTATATAATAAAAGCAGTAGGAATAGACCTTGATTGGTGAAGAAAAATTGAGGCATCAGTAAATGCCATCACATCTTATAATGACACCGATGACCCAGAACAAATCCCTGATTACTAGATGCACACATACACACCTGCATACCATAGGAGATACTGGTTAGACTAGAAGCCAGCTAGATTTAATAGCCAAAAGTTGATTTTTTTGGTTTGAAGCATGTGAATAATTTATCTGGTTACCCTTCTGCAGTATTTGAAAGCCTGGTGTGTGTGCAAGAAATTAAATGTTATTTATGAAGAGACAATGACATCTCTTGGGCACCATGTGGCTCTTAACAGGAATTGAAAGGGCAGGGGAAAGAAAAGCAAAATTCTCTCATGATTAAGAAAAATCTTACACCTAAAAAATCCACAAGAAAATTTTCACTTCTCTCCACTCTACGATCTTTAGTATCAACATTTTAAATAATTTCCTGAGTGCTATGTGTCTGGGTTTAGCTGAGGTATAAACAAATTGGGAAGAGAAGATTTTCAATCACTCTAGAATTTAATAGATGTTTGCTCACAGCTCTCAGTTCCTGGTTCTGCCTTGGGACTTGCTAGGGGAACAGCCAAAGCTAAATACTATAAATCAACACAAAGCCAGTGGCACACACATCAGTCCCTGGGGCCGTTAGTTTATGTAACCTTGGAAACGGCATGTTTGTAATACCTGTAATACACCTTTTTCGTATGTCAGGAAAAAGCAAATAAATACCTAGACAATACTTCACCAGGAAAAGAAAAAACCCACCTCATTCCCTGAGTGCACTCCTGTATCACAGGGTATGGAGTCCTCAAAATTCATCAAATATTTACTCTGGCAGAGAATACACATTAAATTACTAATAATGATAAAACTTTGAGAGAAACATAGACATGAAATCTATAAATAATTACAAAGGCACTCATGAAATCTACATTATCACCTGCTCTTAGCCCCACAATTCATTTATTGTAAATTTATGTACACACAATACAAGGGGTGAGGGCCAGCGTCTACTGACCTTCCACTTTAGTCCAACGAGGAGACTGAAGGATGGGGCCTATCGGATGGCGTTCGTAAATATAGGTGAATAAGTTGATACGCAAAACAGGTTCTTAAAAAGGGAGCCACTGGGCGCCTAATTTATTAGCAAAAAGGAGAGCAGCTCTCCCTTGGGAATTCAGAAGTTACTACCGAGACCTGGGGCCACTGCTCAGCGACAGCAGGTAACCATCCTCCACTCATCACTGTTGAGGAGTCAGAATTGCAGACTTCGAATCTTGGAGTTGGAAGTGGCTTGAGAGCCCACGCAGACCAGCTCATGCTGTAGGGAGGTGGATGAGGCTCAGGGAAATGTGACTTACCGAAGGTCAAGGCTGGAAACTTCCGGCCAGGGCTCTTCCCACGACTCCGGGCTGTCTCCTTACTCCTGACACATCCTGTCGTAGTCAGATAGGTCATCGGGTATTAACCAACAGACATCTAGTGTAAACCTCTCGAAATAACGAATCACCCAGATTCCCAGAATCCACTGGAGAAAGGAAAATATGGAGGAAGGAAAGGACAGGTAACACCATGTTATCGGAGAAGAACCTCTAGGAATGAGGGGGTGGTTAAAGGGACTGACCTTAAGCCATTAATTACAGGAGCTGGTAGGAGTCCTGGTTCAGCTTTCTTTGACTGAAGTGCCTGGGCAGTGCTCAGGCATGGAGCTGGACACGCAGAGGGGGAGAGCCAGGACGATTGAAGCGTGTTAAGCAGCAAGACGGAACCAGCATCTGTCTCTCACCAGAACCCAGACTGGCCTCTCCCGTGAGCCTTTACCCTCTCTGCTGCAGGTGACCTGATGGAGAAGCTAAGTGTCGTACCTGGCCCCAGATTTCACAGAGATGCTGGCAGAGATGTGTGGAAGCTGGCGAAGCTGTAGGCCCAGCTGCTGCCCAGACCAAAGGTGCAGCAGATCCATTAAATGTGTGTGGATGCGACAGGGCCTGACCCATGGCCACTCTCAGCGAGTAAGCATGGTCATTGCTTCACTCCCAAGAACAAATCTCATGCACATTGCTCTTGCGGCCAAACCTAGCCAGAAATGAGCAGGGAAGGGAATTCTGGGAAACACAGTTCAGCTTAGCCAAGTGGACACTGCCAAATCACTACACACCATAAATATTGTTAACTAGAATTTTCAAAAAATACCAAATCCACCTATTCTTCTCTGCTTCTACCCAGTAATAAGTAGCCTACCTACTTAGGAGCCAAATCTAAGTCAACTGTATTAACTGCAGTGAGGGTAACGGCAGCTGAGCCCTGCGCCATGTTCATAGCCCTGTAGACAATTACCCCTCCCTTCTTCGAAAGCTATGAACATGTCCCTGAGTTCAGACCTGGGTTCTGTATACTCCAGGAACTCAAAAAAAGACAATGATGGTGATGGCTGAAAAATGCCAAATAACAAGGAATATGGGTATTCCTTGTTATTATCTTTTTCAACTTTTCTACCAGCAAGAAATTTTAAAAAAAACATGAAGTTAGAAAAAAATAGTAATAAGAATCGGTGGGATCTAGTCTAGCCATTATCAGGTACTGAAATGTATTGTGAAATATTAAAACTATGAAAAATGAACAAAAAAACAGCATGAAACAGTATGCAGAGAAAGATCAATGGATTAGAATATGATCCAGAACTAGATCCTTGAGATTATATGGAGATTTAATACACAAAAGAAGGGGTGCTGCTTGTCAACAGAGGGAAGACACATTATTCAATAATTGTTGCTCTCTTCTCCTCCATGACATTTCCTAGAATGATCTTAGCTATTTAATAGGCTTCTAAGTTACAGAACATCTTTCTTGATTTGTACTGTAATGAATTGTTCTAGAAATCGTTTAAGGTCCCACTGAAATCCTGACCATCAAAAGGTATTACAAAGACACACTTCTTTCAACAAAGTGTGGCCCAACAATGGAGAAAGATAGAGCTCCCCACTCCCAGCTCATTGCTTCCAGTTTCTCTATGGCTTCCTCAGACCTCGTGATCTCCTCAGGCAGATGTCTCTACTCCCCTCTTCCTAACCGGGGAAAAAGGCATCAGCGCCCACCCAGGAAGGCAGAAATGGGACCTGCAGGTTGCCCTTGGAAAAAGGCAGATGCTGCCATGGCCTCTTCCTTGGCTCCAATTTGTCGTTCCAGCTCAGAGAGAATAAACAACCTTGATATTTGTTTGGTCCTTAGAAAATCGTAGAAGCTGTTGGTTTTTTCCTATGTCTGACTTTAAAAATTTTTTTTCCCCATTTAACTTGGAATGTTCACGTTTCTTGCGTCATCCAGTTGTTTTATGTCCTACATTTTATTCTGGGTTGTAAGAACCTTACAAGATAGTATCTGATTAAAATCCAAGATTTAAAAATTTTTAAAAATCCAAGCAGCAGATAAAATTTACCTGAGATATGCTAAGTTAAGCGGGATCAACTTTAATCTTATAAATAAACCAAAGGCTGTTTTTGACATCAAAAACCAAACCAAAACAAAAAACACCCCTGAGCTTTGGAGGAATAAAGGGAGCACGGTGGAGACCTGCACGATATTCTGGCCCCAGTGACTCTCTTCATCCCCAGTTCTGTTTCAATTTCCCGGCCTGGATCTGTTCCTACATTCCATCTCTGTGCTTCTTCAGTCTTTTCTTCCATTAGAACATTTATGATGTGCAAAGCACTGCACGAAGTACTTTTGTGGTTACTCAGATTGCTTCATTCCCTAAACTCCTATAGAAATTCAGCAGCATTTTGAGTTTATTCTCTTCAGAAAAGAACGGCTGGGACTCTGTAGCCATTTCTGTATCCCCGGCACAGTGTCTGGCGCCTCACATGGGCTCCATAAATGCCTGCTGAGTGAGTGCTCTCTGTGGTCTGCTGTCACAGCCTGGCTGCGGTAACCAGGATAGTAAAACAAATGCTGGCTAAAAACCTCGTTACAAAAATTGGAGTCCCGCCAGCACTGATGTAATAAAAAGAAATCTAAAGTATGCATCAGGGAAACCAGTTATCAGTGGGAGATGAACCCGATGGGGGTGTATATTAGAAAGGGAGTCTTGGGTTCCCGATGACAACATACAAGGGACAACGTACCCTGGCACACCACAGAAATACCGGTGTTTCACCAGGGCAGGAAGAGAGTGCCCTAGATAAAGACCTGCGAGGATGGAAACAGGGTAGCAGCAGTAACAACGCCGAGACCTGGATTAAATTAGTTCTTTATGTTTACAATCCATAACCCAGAGAGCCTACTGAGTAAAATTTCATGAAGGCATCAGGGACACAGAGCTTAAAATATTTCTCCCCTTCTCTCCATATTTCCACTTCCAAAAGCTAGACTAAATAATATACACTCAATTAAAAAAAAACAAAATACTAAACAAAATAAAATAATTCCCAATGCAGGGTTCTGTCAAGAATTCCTATTATTTCAACCATTCCAACTTCAGTGATCACTAAGAATTAGTTTGGCTCGTTCTGCAAAGGGAAGATGCATCAAGGACAGGGGTAGGTAGGGCAACGTCAGGTGTTCAGGCCAGCCGGACTGCTTCACCTCCCCTGCAGCCAGCTGAGCCCTGGCCACATCACATGACTTGAGTTCCCAATGTCCTCGGGGGTATCGGTGGCGCCAGGCTCTGTCCCCACAGCCCGACAGCCTGGCAGCAGGGCAGACGCGCCTCTACAGCGCGAGCTCCCGCTCTGGCTTCATGCTGAAGGGCTCCAGCCTCTCGCCCTCCGGCAGCATGCTGTTGAGCCTGTCCATCAGGGGCACGGTCTGGTCTATGCCCATCTGGATGCGGCGGAGGATGGCGGACATTTCGTTCACCTTCTGGATCTGCTCCGCGTATTTGGCGTATCTTTTCTGGCGCTCTTGCATGAAGCTGAAGAGCGTTTCTACAGACAGATCCATCTGCAGAAGGGGAAAAGAAGCGAAATGCAGTAAGTCTCGTGTGAACAGGTCCTCTGAGGAGGATCACGTGGTCAGCGTGATCGGCATGAGGCAGAGTCCCACAGGTCACGTGGAAGCTGACCAGCTTTATGGAAAGCATTGGGGGGATTAAAAAAACCTGAAAACAAAAAATCCTTCATGAACACAACTTTATCAACTGTGATTCCAGAACCATCTTTAGAGGGAGACTAAGAGATGACTGTGTCTGGCTCTGTGTTTTGGGAACGTGGGCCATTTATACCTTGTTGAAACCCAGGGATTTCTATTGCTATCTATCTACAGGAAAGAATCCTGGGCTTGGGAACCAGACAGACCAGGGTTTGAACCTGGCTCTGCCGCTTGAGTTTAAAATACTTATGCTTTCTGTCTCAGGGTCTTCATCTGCAGAAAAAGGGAACAAATTCCAGAGTTACAGCATTGCTGTGAGGATGAAATGAGTTAACACATGCAAACACAGTCTTAGCACAGGACTCGGCATGGCACAGAGGTGCTTTAAAATGTGTTCTTCATTCTTCCCTCTCTTCCCTGAATGGCTGAGATGGGCAGTCGCTTGGGGGGAACCTGCAGGAAAAGGGGGCGCTCTTCCTGCCAGGATCAAAAATGCCAACCAAGGCTCAAGTCCATACCCTGTGAGGCAAACTGTGAGGACTGCTTCACGCAGCCTCTCCCCCAGTTAAAAAAACTTTAGGCTCTGTGTCCCCTTTTCGTCTCCTGGTGAAGTCCTTTGGAACGTACCATCTGGATAAAATAGGGGGAGGGGACCTGCAGCGTGTCAGATGCCTGTGCCCCCTGCTCTGCGTGGACCCCACATCCGCTCCCTCCTCCTAGTGTCATCTCTTCCAGGAGTGCCTCATCCCAACCAGCACCATGCAAAGTGCTGGCACTGCATGCAGCTTAGTTACTACAGAGCCTCTGAAAGCTGTGCAACCAAAACAAAAACAACATAAACTACATGTTAATATAAGAGACCAAAGCCAGCCCTAAGAAAAACCACCAGTTCTATGTTTATACTGGGTGTTGCGGGGAGAGGGATGGTGAGGAGGGGAGATGTGTTAGAACTTGGTGGTTGTTTTATTTATTTATTTTTTTTTAAGATTTTTTTTAAATTGGGGAATTGGGGGGATGGGAACAGTGCTGGGGAACTGGGGGAAGGGGAACAGACTAGTTGCTGTCGTTTTGTTCTTCAATCTAGTTGTGGAGGATGTTGCTTCACTGGCCCAAGTTGGCACCATCATTGCGCTTTTCTCGGGTGAGGCAGAGCAGTCGCCGGCTTCTGGACGGCCGCTCACTGCGGCTGCTGGCCGCTCACGCTGGCTGCTGGCTACATACGGTAGCCCATGGCAACCCACTGCCACAGGGACTGCAGCCTACGCCATCGCCGGCGACTCACAGCAGCCCAGCTCCAGGTTGAGCTGTTGTTCAGCATCTTAGCTGTAGAGGGCAGTGTCACTGGCCCTCATATGTGGGATTCGAACTGGGGCCCTCTGGTGTCCCAAGCCAGTTCTTAACCATTGCGCCACTCGGCCGGCCCTCCCCATTCTTTTTGAGTGCTGCAAGGAAAGTCCCAATCTGGTGCAAGAAAGACTTTAATACCTGAAAAAGTGTAATAAAACTGGTGATAGCTACTTCTCAGGTACCTGCCCTTTGCTGACTTGAGGTAACACTATTCCTGATCCCTGATCTCTAATCCCTATCTTTGTACATAGCCATGAACCCCGGTACAGACTTATTCTAGCACATCTGACATGACGTTAAGCAGTTTAAGTCAGTATCTAATGAAATTCTGGATCTTACCATTTTGACAATCTGGGACATACCTGTATTTACCTTTCTTATTTCTATTTTTGGCACAAAGATTCCAGAAGCATAAATATATATAGTCGACAGGCATTTATTGAGTACTATAATGTGCAATGTACCATGCGAGGTCCTAGGGATGTAGGTATTAAGAACCCAAACAATTTATACCCACAGAGCTTATTGTGTACATTAATATGACTTTTCTTTTCCAATGTCTTTGTTAACATGGCTTTTAGTTTTCCAGGAAACTCAGGCCCAGGAAGAGAAATGTTGCAAATAACTTTGTTTCAGGCACTTCCAGAAAAACCACTTCAGTGAAAAACTATTAGATTTTTCCAACAGACAGAGAATGACCATTTATTCTCTACAACTCTTGCCTCAAAGCCCTTGCCTTGCTGTGACCACGTGGTATGCATATGTGGCAGTCTCTTGTGGCAGCTGTTGGCTGGCACACACTCTTTCCTCTTCCTCTTCCTCCTCATCCCTCTGCTGCTGCTGGCATGTAGCCCCCTTAGACCACCAGGGTAACTAAGGTCGCATCATTGGGTTAGCAGAGCAGTGAGCTAGAAGTAGTCTGCGTCCATGAAGGCTTTCCTGGGTGAGAGCAGTACCAGGCCTGGGACAGAATAAATTTCCATTCTGCATAAGCCCCCGTAATTTTGGGTCTCTGTAACACCAGTTGAATTTAATCTCATACTGATAGAAAAATGAATGAGATAAAGTCTCTGTCCTCAAGGAACTAAATGTTTACTCTCAAACTCGTACTTTAAATCTTGCCCTACATAGTCATACATTATTTTTTGTGGCAGTATATTGCAGAGGACAGGTGAAAAAGGGCACAAGATTATTTGTGGGTACATCTGCAGGCTTTCCTAAAACATTCAATATCCACGGAATGTGCTCAAACTTGTTCCAAATACCTTCTATGGATGGTGCATCCTATTTGCCCACCTGGTCAGTCCACCACCAGATATGCAAGTCGGGTGAGGCAGGGTCTCAGGGCGTCACTACAGTGGGAAGAGCTGTGGTCACCAGGTTAATGTAGACTTCGGTTTGGTGCCAGTGCTGAGCCTGGAGCTACTCAGCAAAAGTCTCAGAGCACACTGAACAGGTTTCTGGCCTGAGGCCCATGGACTCTGATAGTTTTCCAAGAAAGAGTGCATTGTGGCTGTGCTTGGAGAAAGTGCCTCTGGTGTTGGGCGAGTTGGGTGGGTGGGGTCCCAGTGAAGTTCACCAGACCAATCAGATTCAGGTTTGGCTGTGTGGAGGCGGGCTTGACACAGGGAAGATGGCGCCCACCTGCCAGCTGCACAGGAAAAGGACCTGCTACAGGAAAACGGTGACTGTCCTCCAGCCCTTACTCTGAAGCCACAAACCTCAGTCTGCCCCCCGTATGTCTCTGATGCCCCCCAAGACACTGTCCTTCCGCTGGAGCCCAAGGTGAGTGCCTGTGAGTGAGTAAATCTGCGCGCAGGCTCTCTAAGAGGATGTCTGGGTTTCCCGCAACCTTCTGTCCCGCCAAGTCAGTCGGAATCCCCACTGCTTTTCACAGCCAGATGTTGTGGGGGCTCCTCTTCTCAGCACCAGTACTCTGGGCTGGTATGGGGCTGCGGTCTCTTGCTTTTCCGGGGTGTGTGTGTGGGGGAACCTCCGTGGCTGAGATATCCCTCTTGGTTCTCAACCGTCACACATAGGTTTGGCTAGCCCGTTTCACATCTTCGCCCCTCCTACCAGTCTCATCGTCGCTTCTTTATATCCTTATAAAGTTTTAAAACTGTTCAGCCAGACTTCAGATGATGCTCCAGGTTGAAAGTTCTATAATTTAGTTGTAATTTTAATGTGTTCATGGAAGGAAGCAGGCACAGTGTTTATCTACTCTGCCATCTTGGATCTCTTTTCCTAAACTGAGTTTATTAAAAGAAAAATAGGGAAAGGGGGCCAGTGAAGAGCCACTGGATGACCTAGAAGCTTAAGGAAAAGTCCTGCAGATCACCTGGAAGTGGGATCTGGCCTTCTTGAGACAAATGATCCAAAAAGAAGGTATAAGAGTAACACATGTCTGAAGGTTTACCCATGGGCACTGTTAAGTCGACTAGACTATAAATCAGGAAAAAAAAAAAAAGAAAAGAAAAAGAATAGCTGCATGTTAACCAGGTAGTTGTCTCAATAGTACTCCCTTGCTAAAGACCTGGCACAGTGTGGAAGGAAAAAAAATTCTGGTCAGTTCTCACACCACGTTGAGGATTCTGGAGGCTTCCAGCTCGTGACCAAGATTATCCTGAATCCAATCCGTTGTCTCTGGATAGTTACTGCTGCCAGATGAGCTGGCTATTCGTGACATCAATGCCCACACTGATGTTGCACTCCTAACCTCAGGAAGGATGTGCTTCGTGGAAGCTCCCATCCTGACTGAGCTGGAGTGACAGAATAGAACTTAGTTGCTTTCATGCCCTATGGCTTAAGTTCTCAGTAGTTCACCTTCCATGGTTTGGCCAGAGCTTTTACCACAGGTGATAAGTGGACATCCAAACTCTGCAAATTACCTGTTTAGATATCTGAAGGCATTACTGAGCTGGAGCTGAGTGATTGAGAGTCACTCTGAAAGGACAGGGTTTCTCTCATAAGAGGTGAGGGCTTCTATAAGAAGCAACAAAATAAGGAACAAATGTGAGGCTGGGTAACCATTCCAGCTTTATGACCAACAGCTTGCGGATGAAGACAATAGTGTCAGACAGAACTGGGTCAAAATCTTAATTCTGCATATGACTGATTACCTGTGACCTTGATTTGAACCAGTTACTTAATCTTTTTGAGCCTCAACTTCTTCACCCTTAAATTGAGGATAATAGTACTGACCTCCTAGGGTTGCTGTGAGGAGTAATGAGATAACATATACAAAACACCTAGAATGGCCCCCAGAAAAAGAGCTCCATAAACTATAAAATATATGTAAACTGAAACAGAAACTATGTATAGAAACAACTTTTACACGAAGAATGGACAAGCCAGGTAAGAAATTTAGTAAATAAGGGCAAAGAAAAAAAAAGAGATGACATTTTGTGGTATCCAAATAGACACAATGTACCTTTGTTGTAAAGGCGGGGGAGCTTATTGTTACGCCTCATCTCTATTACATTAACTATCTTCCAGGCTTTCACAAT